ACAAGTGAAGCGCAGGACGGGGTCCGGTGGATGGGAGGCAAGGAAACGCGGGGGGTTGCCACGTGCGCTACCGCCGCCGCCGCAGGCAGCACCCCTGCGGCGGCGGCAGCGGCAGCAAGCCGTGGACCCAAACGCCGTGCCGCCGCCGCCGCAGGCAGCACCCCTGCGACGGCGGCGGCAGCAAGCCGTGGACCGAAACTCCGTGCCGCCGAGTCCCGTGGCTGTGGCCGTGGGCTTCTGGCAGGAAACTACGGCCGCAGCTCGGCAGCACGGGGGCGTCGCAGCGTGACCCTGACATCTTGCACAGCATCACCAAGTCTGTGAGCCGCTTGCCCCGCCCATCGCTGTCCCTGCAGCCTGCCTACATTAAATCAGCGCAATCAGCATGTCCGTGGAAACCATCGGCCTGTGGACCAACAAAGGCGGCGTTGGCAAGACCACGCTGACCTTCCACCTCTCAACGGCTTATGCCTACCTGCATCCGGACAAACGAGTTGTTGTGGTGGACATGTGCCCTCAGGCCAACCTGTCAAACACGATGCTCACCAGCACGGAGGAGGATGGCAGTGAGTGGGAGGCAGTGGAGGCTCGCTGCCTAGAAGCGCGGTCCAGGAGTCGCCTGGGGTGGGGGGGTGGGGGGGTGCTGGGTGGTGCTGCTGCCCAGCCTTTTGCGCCGGCGCATACGCGCTGCATCATGCTGATGGCATGCTCACATGCACTTGCAGCAAGAGAGCCAGGCTCGACGACGGTGGAGATTTTGAAGGAGGCAGACGAGATTCTCCAGGCGTCACGCACTGTGGCTGGCTACCTGCACACGATGCTGAACCCCGACCCAGGCGTTTTTCGCAAGAGTTCAGGTCGCCATGCGCATTTGCTGCTGCGTATTTGCTCACAGCCTACTGTTTGGCTGTTTTGTGGGTATAGCGTGCAAGCGTGACCTGCCGCCTCACTGAACTGCCCACTGGTTTAAAGCTGCAGAATTTCTGACCCAGGTAGTTACCCACAACAAGGGCATGTCAGACAACATCTGGCTCTTCTGTGGCGACGATCGCCTGGGTATGAAACTGCAGCAATCAGAAGCAAGTCGGCCAATGTTTGAACACCCTGTTCCAGAGCTGCTTCTCAACTCAGCTTCTTGTCCCACCCCTGCTCTTGCAGATGACATGAATGCCAGGCTGGCACAAGCCATCAATGGCAATCGGGATGGGTTCAGGGATCCATTTGTCAGCAACCTCAAGCTCTTACGCCGCTTCTTCATCAATCTGCAGCAGGAGCCGGGCTGGGCCGATGCGGATATCATGGTGTTCATTGATACTAACCCTGCCTTCACAGAGTATACCCAGATGGCCCTCTGTAAGCTGCACTGCAGGCGCCAGTGCAGCCGGAAGCCCACTGTGCAGTAGAGGGTCGTATACTTTACCCTCTGCGTTTCAATCACGTTGAAGGACCTATTAATGCCATCTTGCAGGCAGCATGGACAAGTTGGTAATTCCAGTGAATGCTGACGAGTTCTCGCTGCAAGCGGTTGATTATATGTTCCGCAGGTGAGTCTCGCCAGTCTTCAAACTGTTTGCGGCAAGCCAAATGAAAATTTCTCCCTTAGTTGTCTTTCAGGCTGTGGAACATGTTTCCCAAGGACGATGAGCTGATGCGGGCAAGCTTTGTGTTGCGCTGCGCACAGTGTGCCAATGCTAGAACTGCATACTCTTACACCCTTGTCGGCTCTATACTTTCGGTTTCCTGTCTGCGCAGGACTATGTTCGGGAGTCCTTTGGTGTACGGGTGTATAACCGCATGCACGAGAGTGACAAGTCTTACCAGAGGACCCGTGACCTCCTGCCCAAGATCGCCGCCGTGGTGCACAATCGCCACAACGTTCACAAAACGCGGGCAGTCTGTGCGTTCAGCCACCTGCACAGCTTGCAGGGGGAGCGCATCTATGAGGCACACAAAGTGGCCCACAGGTGGGCCTGCCCAGCGCATTTGCAACATGGCCTGCATTTCTCCCCTTTTTAACAAGGAGTACCAAGCTTGCAGCAAATTGCTGGTAAACGCGGCTGATGCAGACTGCGAGGCGAGGACCCAAGAATGGCCGCCGTGTTTGTGGACAAGGGGCTGCCAACAGCCACGCAGTTTAATGACATCTATACAGGTGTGAAACTGCAGCTACTTGTCTAGCTACTGTGTGCGCCTTTGCGGCTTGCCATGCAGGCGCCGGCGTGAACTTGCTGCTGATTCGGCATGCTGCTGCAGCCACAATGCGCGAGATGTTCAGCATTGGCGTGGCATCTGCTCACACGGGTATCCCCCTGCATGGAGTGCGCACCAAACGCAAATCCATCCAGAAGGCATTCGACACCACTAGCATCGGGAAGGATGAACAGCTTGTCGCCGTGACCAGTGTAAGTCACAAGTAGTGACGGTGCGCCGTGGCCGCTCGTCCACTACGCCGCGGCACGGTCCATGCGGTTGCTCCGCCCCCCTTCCCCCGGTAGGATCTGCTCAAGGTGCTGGCCATTGTTCTGGACAACCCAAGCCTGTCGTCTGCAAACGATTCACGTCTGTTCGAAATGATGAAAGCCGGCGCTGTACCAATATCCACTCGCGGCGAAGTGGAACGTCTGCTGTCAACACGAACGTAGGCTGCAGAATGATTGTAATTGCATGGAGCCAGCGATCGAGTTTAATTTTGGAAGCCAACTTTCGAAGTTTTTAATCAGACATTTGTGTTTTGCCTGTTGCAGCGTGTCCATGGCCTACAATGATGCTGCTCGCATGGCAGCAGAGTGGGAGGCGCGGGATGCACTCATGAACAGTGGGCCGGGGGTGAGCATCGCTGCATTCAACCGCGCCCCTGTTGTTTGCAATCTTTTCTCCTTTTTCCCAGAGCATCGCTGGCCCCTCCCGATGCAGGCCCCACCCAACACTGCTCCAGGCCATTCTGGTGGGCGCGGCGGCAGTGGCCCTGGTGCACATGCAGGTCATCACGGTGCTGTGCGTGGTGATGGTCACAGGCGGCCACGTGAGGACAGTGGTGTTGGCGATGCTGCCGGCCCATCAAATTCCGGGCCACGCGCACTCTGAGAATACCTCAGGTGGCGGCAAACGCTTCGTGTTGCACACAATTAACTGCCAAGAGCATCGCGTGTTGAATGAAATGAGCAAGACAAACAAGAGTACTAGTGCTGCGTGCTGGAATCTCCCCCATGATATGGACCCATGAATACGATATGAACCTGCAGCTTGCAACTCATCCAGTTTCCCCTGCTGGGTCGCTGCCTACCTACCTGTTGCGAGCGCATGCCTAGAGATCGCGCCACTGAAAACCACAGCCCGAGCCCTGCTGCGGCACATGTAACAACAGGTTGTTGAAGACAGCAGCACTGCACCACTGGATGACAGCGACAGCCCTGGTTGTCCAACGGGGACAGGTGGTTCCGCCTGGGCTGGGGCGGGTTGGGTTGAGTCGCTGCTGCGCAGAGCTGCAGACATGCTGTGCAACCAGTGTACTAGCTGCCCCGTGGTCCCTGAGGCTGACGTGCTTCTCAGCTGTGCCGGTAAGAGTCGTTCGCGCCTGCGACCAACCCCATGGGCCTCTGCTGGCGGCACTGGCGGCACTGGCGGCAGCCCCAGTTCAGCCTGCGCCAGAGGCCAGAGCTGGTGTCGAGGTCTGCCCCAGACCTGCTAGGGATACAAAAAAGAACAAGACATGCGAGGGAGGACGCACCAAGCGGCCAAAGCAGGAGTGTTTTCCTGGTCTTAGGTTAGAATGACACAAAGACACTTGCAGATTGGTTCTCAATGCCGGGGCGGTGGAAATTCCCCTGCTTCAGCCAGAGCGCTTCCAGCCGTGCATGCGCGGTGCAATTTCGGCGCACGCGAGAATCCGCCGTCCCAGCGATGTGCTGTCGTGTTCTGCATTCTGTTATAGTTCCACCGCATCTTCTGCCGCCCAGCTCCATCTGTCCTCAATAATTCTGCCTCTCCACACCTGCAACGGCTGTCTTGCCCAGCAGAAGAGTGGCAGGCATGCAGTAGCCGGCCCGAGCTATTGAGCCGTCGCCAACCAGCAGCAGCGGCAGCGGCGCGGCCTTGACGCACGAACCGCCGCTCAACGGCGGCAGCGGCGGCAGCAGGCCGCACCTGTCCTCGCCGCGCAGTCACCACAACAGGCGGTTCTCGCCACAGGCTCTCGCATTGCTGGGACTCGTGCTGGCAGGCAGCGTGTGGGCGCTGCATCGCAACCGGTCGGATGCAGGGGCGGGGGCAGCAGCAGCAGACGCCTCTGGAGCGGAGCGGCAATACAACCTGCAGCAATTGGATGAGCCGCCTTGCACGCGCAAGGCGCTGCCACGCAGCTCCCACAAGGCAAGTTCTGGTGGTGGCGGGGGCTGTGCCGCCCGCCGGGGACTAGATGTCGGGACAGCAGCACTTGCTCCGTTGCCACACACACCCCAGACCCGGCTGTGCCCGCTCACGACATCGGGCTGGGTGTCAATTGCTGCCTGCATGCCTGCCTGCCTGCCTGATCAGGCCTGTTGCGCAATGTCGACTGTACCTGTGCCTGTCCACCAGATCTGCCTCCAAGCATATGTTGCAGTGCACGACTGCCAAGGACCCCAACCACCGCGTGTGCGAGTTCACCAGCCTCATCCTGCACCGAGGCACTGCCTACTACCTGACCGACGGTGTGTGGGGAGGGGACCTGTTGTGTTGGGCAGCGCCCATCTGACAGTGTGCGAGCTGCAGCTGGCCAGCGAATGCCCGATTTGGACACTGCTGCACAATGCTCGCACAGGTCAACCTGTGCTGCTGACCGCCACTTGAGGCTCTCCTCAGCCACTGGTTGCCCCAAAACCAGGCATGCTCCAGGCAATGTCCAGGCAGAGTCGGACGCAGCCAGCCGTTGCCCGCCGCTGCTGCTGAAGCATCTGCACGGGCCATGTGCTGCTGCAGACCAGGAGCTGGAGCTGCCCACCGTGGATGTGACCTACCATCCAGCTGCAGACGCCCCCACGGTGTTGCACCGCAGCGCGGCAGGCTTCCTTCTCGAGGGCGAGAACGAGGTGTGTGGGGAATGTGCGCTTTGCCTGCCTCTGCCTGACTGTGCCTGCTGGCGTGCCCGCACCCACCCACGTGCCCCCTGCCCTTCGTGCTGCGCTCTGCAGTGGTTCAGTGTGCCGCTGTCCTGGCTGTGGAAGGTGACCAACCGGTGGGACAACTTGGCTCACCACTTTGGAGAGGACGTGAGTCGGCGCCTGCAGCAGTCTGGGTTGTGGGGTCGCTGGCACTCGGGCGCAGCTGTCTGTTGCATCCTCGTGGTGCCTCTCGCCTGCTGGCTGCCTGCTGTCCCCCGCCTGTGTCCCAGCCCCACCTTACCCCTGTTGTCTCTCCGCCCCTGCTGCACTTTAACCAGGCGGTGACCCTGCACAACACGCTGTGCCGGCACCTGGGGGAGTGCAGCTACCCGCCGCGGCGCGAGGTGCAGCTGTTCCTGCTGCACTCGCGGCAGCGCGGCGCCCTGCTGGCGCCAGTCAACGCCACGCTGGCGCGCTGCGTCACCGGCTGGCCGCCCGTCTACCGTGACGACGCGCGCCTGGAGCGCAAGGTCAGTCTGCGTTCAGGCAGCAACAGCAGCTTAAGTAGGTTTCCAATGCAGCACATGCATGTTTGTCAACAAGCAGTCTTTCTGCCATGTCTGCCCTTGAGGCGCTGTGCCTGCCTGCCTGCCGTGCCGCGCTGCAGACGGTGCTTTTAGACAAGGCCAGGTCGGGGATAGGGCCAGACTGTCACGCGCAGCGCGGCTGCTCCAGGTGTGCGCTGCTGCACCGCCTAGAAGCTGGGTCCTGTGTATTCATCCATGAGCTGCTCCTGCACACCTTCTTACTCTCACATTGTGTGGGGCGTATAATTTCCACTCCAGACAAATTCATATCACAATGATGATTGTGACTGCAGGCACGTTCAATGTATTGTTGGGGCAGGCACTGGACTTGCTGCACCATCTGGCTGCTGTGCGTGTGTTGAGCAGCAGCCATTAAATGTTGACGGAACTATGGAATTGTTAATTTGAGCAATCTTTTTCTTTCTTTTCTTTCAAAGTGGCTGTTTCTGTTAGCTTCCCTCTCAAGGGGTCTCTGAGGCCTCCCTGCGAGGCCGCTTGGGATTTCGGGCCGCTCGTTGGAGGTCGGGGAGAATTTCCTTGATGAACTCCTTTAAATCCTGGACCTTTTTGCGGAAGGTTTGGAAGTTGGGGGAGGCCATCAGTGTTTTCATCCTCTCATCATCCAGGTTATAACCAGTGTAGTTGAGATTGTAGTTAAGCGGCTTTTTGCCGCACATCTTGAGCCCGGCGGCGTGCCAGTGGCAGTACAGGTCGGCGGCAACTCCCGCCTGGGCAACGGTGTCAAAGGAACTGATGTTGATCGCCTTGTCCTTCATGACAGTCTGCCAATCGTTTTCAATGGTCGGGCAGCAAGCTTCAAACATTTGCGTGCCGTTTTTGTTCAGTTTGGGCTTGCCATTCGCCTCAATAACTGGCTCTCTTGTCAGAGGGTAATACCTCATATGGACCCGGATATATGCATGAGCCTTGACCCCACGTTTTGGGTTTTCGCCATCTTCCCACAGGACGTTGTGGAAGTTGGTGGCGTGCTCGGCGGTGTCAGCCGCCTGGGCGTCTTTGGAGGAGGGGAAAGCCATATCCGTCGCGGAAGGCATGCTAGTATCCAGCTTTACCTTCAAATTGCCCTCGCCATTGGCACTAAACAGTAGCCTATCACCTTCTCGCAGTGGTGTTTCTCGTAAACCGGTTTTTAGGTTGCCCATCAGCTTGTCAACACTGTGCTTTTGGTTGAAAAAGGTGTACTGGTACTGGTGCGCCTGATCTGCCCACAACACAATGATGTCCTGTGGCGTTCCGGCAGTAGCATGAGCAACAATCTGCGCGCCGAGCAACTCCGTTGCTAGAGTTGCTGGTACAACCAGAGAGTTGTGCTTTAAATTTGTTTGGGTCAACTTGTAACGCCATTTGAAAGATTCGCCGTTTTTGACTTTTTCCCAATTTCCCACTTTAATCTGCAAACAGCCATGCATTCTGATAACATTGAATGATACCATAGGTTAAGGGTTGTACAACATGGCATTCTTGCCTACCTTCAGATCTTTGTTCTTTTTCTGCTTGTCTCGACCGTTTAGCTTTGATTCCTTGAAGTCCTGCAGAGAGCACAGAGAAAAGAGTGCAATCCCCTGATACTTGTTTAGGGGTGGACGCTGTAGATATCAATTACCTTGTGCAAAGTGTCCACACGCTCAAACAGCATGCATTCAATGTGCGTTGCACGGTCATCTCCCATCAACTGTGGGTAGGACCCGTTGCCACCAGAAGCCACGGCCTCAATGCATGCGCCGACGTCGTTGTAGTAGTACCATCCCACTTTGAGCCGTTCTGAAAGGTCTGTAAAAAAGGGAGTGTGCCGGAAAGTGGTTGGTTTGTTGAATATTGGCTCAGTTAACTGGCTCGATGGCGCAAGCTGTCAATAACTCGCCTTTCAATACACGGAAATAAGCAGTGAAGTGATGGCCCTTATGCAATATCAGTGCCCTCAGCTCATAATATGCTGTCTGGCAGCCCGGCAAGTTGAGGATAACTTGACCACAAGAACTCAAATCGACGCCGACAACTTCATCCTCTCCATCTTCTCTTTGAACGGTGAAGCAATCCAAGTTCAATGCGCGTCTGCAGCAGTCAATTGCAGACTCAGATGCTTGACGCGAATAAGCATTGTGTTGGTCAATCCAACAGCATCCATGGGCTCACTTCAAAGTTGTTATTAGCCAGTTGGGAAGAGAATTCACTTCCACCCGTCTCCTAATTGGCAACGTTGATGCGTCCGCCTGACACGATGAGCACGATTGATCCGTAACCCCAAGCTCTCCGCTTAATGCTGAGGTTGATGGTAAACATCTTGAGAAATCAAACATGTTGCCATGAGAGCCGGTCAAGGCCTTGACATCGGAGCCAAAGATAGGGACAGACCAGATCTGGTGGTTTTTGGTTGTCTCATTTCTACAAGCGGAACAAAATTCCGTCACCTTTGTCTGAAACTGATAATGCTCTAGGCTGGAACCGTCGGGTGCTGTGAATAACACCGATAGTAGTGCTTCGACGGCGTTCGTCTGTTCAGCTGTCCAGTCGCGGCTGCGGCTGGCAACATACTGGAGCACTTTTTGCTGTAGTTCTCAAAGCGAGTCCGATGTTCAGGCGGCAAATCGTCATATGTTGGAACTCCTTGTGACTGGCAAATAGCATCCTTTGTTGGTTCCAACAGTTCAAACCACGTAGCTGACACAAGATCTCCGCTATTGCCAGGAGAACACAACGTCATTGCAGCCATGACTGTGAAACTGTCGGGACCGCACGACATTGCAGTTCTATCCTGTCCTAGATGGAATCCAAAAGCTGCAGGCGCCCGATTGACGTTATATTCTGAATCATGAGGAAAAACATCCTCAGGCTCTGACAGATCGCCATCAGATGCATCGCCTTCAGTGGTTTCATTCGTAAATTTGCCCTGTAAAGAAGATTCCCAGTCTGCCCAACGCAAGCGTTCGTCCTCGCCCCGTACTTCAATGCCGTGCCTAGCGATCAGTTGCAAAACAAACTTGTTGGGACACTAGAGAGAGTAAACAAAGCTGTTGAGAGAAGACACCACAACGCACCTGTATGCCAACTGCAGCAAAAGCTGCTTGTGCCTTTTCAAAATGGATTTGAAGTCCCAGCTCTTCCTTTCTTTAAAGATGGAAATCGCCATGTCAAGAGTTTTCATACCATCAGAGCTGCAGTAGAATGGGAATAATGTTGTTGTTTCGCTTTTTTTGTACAAAAGTCAGACCAGCATGTCTTACTCAAGATTATTCAGCTTGTCTGCATCATCAACATTGTTGAGAGAGGCATTTTTTGCCCTACTCAAAATAGACAGATTACCCAACTTTCCCAGCATAAGACGATGCTTAGGCTTGCCCTTGGGTCCAAAATCTGCCGTCCACTTTGAATTTTCACCAGGATTCTGCAGAGCTCCAGGACACGCATATGCAAATAATTTGCCTGCCTGTGACTTTGTCTCTTGCAAGATACATGCCTCAAATCAGCATACCTTTGGCAAAATGTGCTCTACGGTAATAGTGCCTGTCCACAGCTTGCTTCTGCCGCCATCCGAGGTGGATGGACGCATGCATTGCTCAAGTTGAAGCAGCAACGAGCGTGCAAATACTGTTGAGACGTCGGTTACCGTCCCATCCTTGTTTACAATGCTCTTTGCGACATCTTCACAGTACAAAGCTTTCATAGCACTGCAGCGAAGCACAAACAGTTGGAAATACAAATGACCACTTTAAAATTGTATCTTGCGGAGACATATGACATGATTGCCTGCCCGCTTACCTGTCAAGATCTAATTTTCCCACTGCAGTGGACAGGTGGTCGTCTGCTGTTGTGATTCCTTGGTTGCATGCTGCTTCTATAACTGAAGCCAGAAATTTGTACGTGTGAATGTTCTTTTTTTTGCTGCAGGTGTGGGTGCAAAGATTGGCAGGGAACTGGTGAGAGGCAGAATCATTGTCAATCAAGATCCACAGCATCAGATGACATGCCCCTTCCCCCCCCCCCCCACACCCCCCCCACACACACACCTCCACCCTGGCACACTCCAGCTGAATAGGACATAGCGCTCCAGAAGTTTGAGTGATTCCGCCAAGCTTTTACGCTGGTTTGTTGAGTCTGCATTTGTACAGCATTGAGCGGTTGAACATATAAATACTAGATTAGAAATAAAGTCAAAACCGGTAACGCACCATCCACCGGCAGTACTTCCAAGTATTTCCAAATGATTGCAACAGCAACCGGGCGCCACTGGCGTTCTGGCAAACTGTAGGCAAATGCATCTGGGCAAATGCATCTGGGCATCATGATACAAAAACATGACGCAACGACAATAGCCTGCTGACATGCAGAAGTACCTCAACAAGTTCAGCAACGGCACATCGATATGCATGTTTCCCTTGATAAAAAGCGGCATAACACCATCATGCTTGTAGACTTCACGGGTAATCATGGTGGCATATGCCCGGGCAAAAGATTTCAAAGTATACCCAAAATCACCAAGGTTCCACCCAGGTTTGAGTTGCTGTTCCGAGCGCCACTGAATGAAATAATCGGCCAGCTTGTCATCTCGATTGTCAAGTCGTTCACAGAACCCAGCCTTAGCACGCTGCGTTGGTCAATTGCACATCATGCGAGTAAAATTTCACACAGATAACCTGCTTTCCCGTTCCTTCGGGCGGCGGATTGCCTCACCTGAATGACATGAAAATGCCGAAGGAAGTCAGTCATGAGCTCATGGCTTAGAATGGCCGAATTTGATGAGTTCGGCCCAACGCCAAGGTAATAGAGCCACTCAGAGGTACGTTCCTTGATTAAGTTGTCGGCCACCGCGCCGAACAACCTCTCGCAGTCTTTAAAGCATTCCAAAAACTCTTCACAACCAGTGAGCCGTCCTTGCTGGATACAGGGAAATGGGTGGTAAACACTGCCATGCAGTTTTTTAGACGTTTTTGCGTTTCAAAGCTACATTCTGGGTTTGTTTTATTGCCTACCCCTCCAATGTTGCCAACGAAGATCACTTTAATGATGTCTGCACTTGTGAGCGGAACTCTCATGGTTTCCCGGTTATAGTTCAAAAACGTATCCAATGCAAGCTGGCGATTGGTGGTCAATGTTGTAGTCCAATGCACCCGCTCATCCATGGTTTCTAAAAACTCCAGCAACCACCTAGCTCGATCATTATCATTTGTCAACTCTTGCGATGCCAACATTTCATCAAACCATCTGTTAATGCAAATTGCGTTGGAATGTTCTCGTGTCTGATTGCGAGCATTCTTGGCGTGCCGCAACAAATCATGAAGCACGCGGTCTGGCTCTTGAAAGGTGAACAGCCTGCCCAGTTTGGTGTCCATAAAACTCCCCCTTAAGCTCGCGCGTCCCAACAATACCCATTTTTGCGAGCTTACTTGGTCCTTATAACTGAACCGTTGGGAAATTGTTTCTGCTGCACTTCTTATCTTGAGCGACAATGTTGGTTCCAATCCTACCGGAGGCTCCAGAGCTGGCAGGTAAAGCTTGTGCAGTTTAAGCTGTAGAACAGCGTAAATAATCAAGAAAGTTGTTATTCTCTGTTGGCCATCAATAAGCTCCACGCTTCTACAATGCCCTGTGTACCACTCGGTGTGAACCTAAAAATAAGGAAAACGTCACGATACTGTTTGTATGAATTAGCGTCTGATGTAAATCAGTCATAACATAAAGAAGTATATTTACCCCAATGTCGCTTTTATGAATTTCCAAAACAACTATTTCTCCCGGTTTAAGATAAGCTTCTGAAGAGCGCTTCTTTTTCTCATCGGCTCGAAGATGAAGCATGACGGTATGCATCGAGTTCAAAAGCCTGAAGTTGCCAATGTGAACATGCGGCATTCAGCTGTAGAGAGACAGAGAAGTCGATGGTGATCAATGGTTACTTACCCCTCGGCTTGTTTATTGTCCCACTTGTAGTCACGTTGATAGGCTTTCACGCTGTAACGGAAGTTCTTATGGTCGAGCCATACCCTTAGTGGTTGCGTTGTTGACAGGAACGGCGTGTGCTTGCATTGTTTGGCCTCAAGTTGTTGCGCCTCCTGGGTAAGTTTTTCCGCGAGCTCAAAAGCGCTATGGCTAGCTTTCAACAATAGCATGTTATGGTCTCCCTGATGTATTGAGGCGTTGGCAGGCAGTGTCGGTTTTGTGATTTGCAGAAGGTTCTTTGCCCCTTCCACTGCTTTTTGTGCGCACATGACAAGATGGGCAAGGTGTCCCTCAGCTCTGTGTAAGTTGCTCAGCTGGATCTGCATTATGTTTAATTTAGCTTCTGCGTTGTCAACGAAGGGCGTCGTGTCATCTTGGCGCTCTTGCAATCCACTGCTGGTGCCCACCATACTAGTAGAATCAGCGCCAGTGGGCCCAGGGTTGGGTTCCACCCCAGCTCTTAAGAGCAGGGTATTGTGAATGGCACCAGCAAGGCGGGTTGCCAGCCAAGGAATGGGTGCATCTGGCATTTGTTCTGCAGTTGCTTGATGTCAGCATTGGGAGTGTGCATTGTACCCTAACACAGTAACACAGTATTGGGATTCCATGTGTATCAGGTATCAGACGCAGCAAAGCTTACCAATTGGCAGGTCGATTTTAGAACCACTCCTGTCCGTGCTGGGGGTGTGCATCTCGACACCAACCACCACTGTTGCACTGCATTGCAAGCGTGATGTGGAAGCTCAAAAACATCACATCGGTTAGCGACCATGTCACATCAGGCAATTAGAACTCCTGTTGCACCAACCTGCAAGTCATCTTGCTAGTTAATGTTGTGAAAGGGGGACAAGATTCTCCCCGGCCCGGCGTTTTCAACAGCTCTTTTACTGCAAACGGGCAGTATGTAAAAGGCGGTTGGCCCCTTGGCAGGTCCAGGCAGCAAACAGCACACATGTCTGCTCAGCATCGTTGTCTTTTTTGAGCGCGCACATGTTTCAGCATCAGCAAAACTCACCTTCAACCTCAAACATAGTGATGTTTATACTCCTGGAGCACCTTCGTGCCTTTCTGCCAGCAGTGCAGGTGGCACCCTTCATCTTGCTCCACTGGTTGCGTCCACTGCCCCTTGGACCGTTGTTTGCCGGACGATTGGCCAGTTTGAGCTGCCGCGCCCGCCTCCTGCGCCGCAGCGCACGGGCCCGCTCCGCCTCCTGCCAAGCCCTCCATGCTGGACGCTTCACAACACACCGGCCTTTTGCCAGCGCCTGCTCAGCAACCATGGCCTGCAGCCTGCTCTGCGCTTCAACCTCCCGCTGCTGCAGCACAATCTGCTCCTGTTGCTGCCGCTGCCATTGTGTCCTCCACAGCTCTTGCACCCAGGGAGCTGGCTCAACTCCTGCGCAGGGGGGATTCACCACAAACAATTCAACAGCAGCATGGAGAAATGAAATCAGGGAACGCAAGCAGCCGTATGTGCCTGTCCACACCTTGCCGAACAGGAGAAAACAGTGTCAGAACACCTGTCTGGCTGCAGCCGCTCACCTGACTCAGCAACAATGTTTGACTTGTGCACATGCAAGACTGAAGCATCTGTGTCCAGGACAGGCTCTGCAGGCAAGAGAAGGCAAGCATATCTGAGTGTGCGTAAAGTGGACATGTGGAGTGGATGCAGACAGCTGGGATACCAAACACTTGCTGCAAACTCAATGCAAGTTAATCATGCATGCTCACCCGCTGCAGGCGCCAGCTCCAGGATGGAAACCTGCACCGTGCCAAGGCCTGGTGCCCGCACCGCCAGGTCGCAGGCAATGTGCTCTGTCAACTCTGCCAGGCTGCCTAGCTGGGCGCTGTACGCGTCGCTGCCGCCAAGGCCCAGGCTGTCCAGGTACACAAAGCGGCCCTTGCCGCTGGCTGCCAGCTCGTCCAGCTGGTCTGCCACCACAGGCCTGTAATGGTTGTCGCCGCTGGTCACGAGGGCGAGGCCCCTGACTGGCGGACCTGGCTGCAGCAGGATCTCGCGCAACACTGCCTCCAGCTGCTGCTCAGCCTCTTTGCTGCCAGGCACGTATGCCAAGTGCCAGCCAGACACGACATCCACCTGGCACATGTCAAAGGCCTCGGGTCCCAGGTAGCCATCCTCGTCGCCCAGGCCAGCCTTGATCGCCTCGGCGTAGGTGGCTGTGGACTGCTCGATGAGCTGTGGGAATCTATTCACCACACTGGCCACGCCGTGGGAGCACGCATGGCGCACAGCGCTAGCTGCGACGGCCAGGCACTGTGGCCGCTGCTGCCGCACGCCAGGATACACGCGGATACCGCCCATGTGAGGCAGGCGCGGCAGGGTGTTGTGCAGGATGCCGTCCGTCTGGGTGGTAATTTTTGCTGTGTCCCCCGGCGCCATCGGGAGCAGCCTTCAAGTCGGTATGAAGTGAGCGACTGCTGCAGCAATCAGGCACCACACCCCAGCGTGAGATGAGAGGGCAGAGCAGCCTAGCTGGCAAGCGGGGGCTCTTTGGGCAGAAGGGGAACCTCCTGGGGCATTATTGCCATGTGCAAGCAACTGCAGGGGGGGGGGGGGGGGGGGGGGGGGTC